ATTGTGGAATTGACGGCATCATTGGTAAGAAATCAAAGATGTCGTTCTGCTCCTCTTCGAACAAGCCAAATGAATCGGCAATGGGGTTACACATCGACCAATTGGGAGCTTCCATTGGCCCCGGCAGTCTGGCAGGGAGCTGTCTGCCAGGCGCAGTTCTTTCAGCATTGGGTACCCCAGCGGCACCACTATCCTTGTCGGCCTGAGAGGTCATTGCGCCTGCCGGGTAGTTCACCTGTTCGGATGCCATCCCGGAAGAAGTTGACACATCCACCGGGACTCCGTATGTCCCCCTACCTAATGAGAACTGCCCATTGGCTTGTTCTGAGGGCTTTATCACTTCTGCACAGTAGTCCGCATGCCCTCGTTGGCTAGCGACTAGGGCGCGACCGTAGTTGACGAAGATGGACACGGTACGGTGAATGTCCGGATAGGGCGGCTGCTTGAGAAAATCGCAGATCAGCTGGGCCCTCTCAAGGAGAAGATCCTGATCGATCAAGTCCGGACGCCATCGAGCAATCCGGAGAGCGAATGTCGCTTTTCAAGTTAGCTGACCTATCGGAACCAAGCGTGCCTCCACGTTCAGAGTCTCGTGTCTACTTACTGACAAAGGCAAGGGTCAGGGCTGGGTAGGTAGGAGCCCACGTGAGTTGGCAGCGGTAGGCACTTTCTTGAATGAAGCAATCCAATTGATCCATGATGGTCGTAGCGAGAGCGCGCCACAAATGTGAGACATCCTTGTCGGCTATTGTCTCCGAGTTGGGATCAGCAGCACCGGATTGGAGTTTCTGAATCCGAGCCAAGGAGGCGCATAGGACGAAGATCCGGGCGTAGTTCAACATCAACTTCAGACTACAGCGCTGGAAGGCACCGGCATGAAAGGCGTTGTCTACAATCCATTACTACTGGTCACTGATTGACGGCCTTCTTGCATCTGAGCACTTACTGCCATGGATCTCGTCCCATGTGTTCCACCAAGTTTGCAGTCTTGTCATGACCGCAGGCAGCTCAACCAATACAATTTCATCAACGGTCTTGGCGTTCTCGATGGACATGCGCGATTGGCCTGAACTCTAGTCAGCAGATAGTCAGTCCTCGGGGGAGATAGTAGTACTTCGGAGCTGGTGGATCTCTATGATGGAAATGGTGCGCATATCACAGGGTAAGGATAGCGGATACTCGAGGAATTTGCGCAATTTCATCGTGTCCACTGCATCGATCCGTGACTTGCGGCCGGTTCCGGATGCCACGTCTAGTTCCAGTGTGAAGCTGATCAGCCAAGTCCTGGTCTGCCACACTAGCTTACGATCTTCCATGGAAGCCGACAAAGAACTGCGCGGCACGTGTTCCTGAGACAGTAAGGCATCTAAAGATTTCTCTAGCCCGGAATCGAGGGCGGTACGCAAGATGAGTGCGGTTGAAAACCACGTCTTTTCCGAATAGGCAGCCAGCAAGATCATGCCTTGTACGGTTTCAACTTTGGTGGGGCGCTCAAAGAAACTATCCTCGGCCAGTCTCTGCGCTTCGTCTTGAAGAACACGTTGAAGATGAGTATCACTCCGCAAGTCCATCACAGCCCGACTAGCGAGGTAGATGATGACTGAGAAGCAGAAAAGGGAGCGAGAGCGGACCGAATCGAACGTGTCCCGAATGGGATCGAACAGTGCCAGGAAGTTCTTACTGCCACCCATGAAGCTGACAGTCTGTTAGCGTTGAATCAGTAGATGTCCAATTCAGGGAGATACCATACCGGTCATACATCACGCGTGCACGCTCTTCACTGATGATCCCACGGGCGATGATATCGCTCTTAGGATCCGCTTTGCTGGAGCTGTCCATGAAGATCTGCGAACCATCAACAATCTGCAGCTGAAGACTACTTCCGAACTACTCACGCTGCTTGATCCCAGTAAATTGACCGACATGGAGTGCATCACGGAAACCGGGGCGATCATGTCATTAGGACTCAACTGTTGGGGCTCCGGTGCATGTCGCTCTGCTGTTCCAGGCGAACTCAAATCTGCTGCGGCAGTAGACTCTGGGAGCGAATCAAGCGAGGCGTTGATTGGCACATCTTGTACTGTGGTGGATGTAGAGTAATCCTGTTCTCTAGGAGAAGGACTCCCGAAGCCGTGTGGTTCGGTCCAAGGAGACCTTGCCTGTTGGCGCCTGTGTTCAAGCTATATATTAGTTCGGTTTCATTCCGCAGATGCTCTAAAAGAGATATATTCCTCTCACCTAATAGGACGAGTAGCCGGGGATGACCGCCGGGTACTCTGTCGCCTTGCGCTCTCGACCGGATCAAGGATGCAATCCCTGCCTACGGCGCGACAACGGGCGCAAGGGACCTGATTTCGGGCATCACAGCGCATTTTTTGCTTGCGACACCAGCGACATGCCTTGAAATAGCGCGTTGGGACATTTCCCGATCGGAAGCGTAGTTCCGGGACCGATTCGGACATGGTGGATGGGCCTTGGGGGAGGGTGGATTTGGAGAAGGGGGAGCAATGAATTGCTTTTGCGGGGAAAAGTGAGGGTCAATTCAGAGTCACTTTCGAGTACTTCTTTACTTGATCGATGAGTGGTTACTAGTTAACAGTTACTAAGTCACTAGCGGCTCCTTAGCCCGCTTGACTCATTCATCCCTGTTGCCTGTTCCCCCTCGCAGTCATTAAAAGGTCATCAACAGGCTACTGGATAAGCAACAACAACAAGCACAACAGATCATCTCGATGAACTACTAGAGCATGGACTAACTATATCAATACGATAAATTTGCGGGACGTTTCGTCTAATCTTGGATGAGTTTTTGATATTATCCGCCATGCGAAATAAACTTTGCTGCCGCCATTTTCACCGAAACCTTGAATGCATGGAGCAAGAAGGGCATCTCGGTATATGCCCGCAAGGAACGACGACTTTCACAGGGACTTACTGATTGGGTTGCCTCATCTGGGATCGAAGCAAGCAGGCACAGCACATGATTTTCAAAGCAAATTGTCGGTTTCCCGAAAGCAACATCCACTCACGCCAGTGTCTCCCGAGTCAACCCGCTTAAGCTAATATTTTCGAATAGATCATGTTGGTGATGCTGGTGGTGCTTAGAAGTCAAGAGAGAGCGGGCATCGAAATCCACATGATCACCCGAGGCTTGCCCTACATTCGAGGTCCCCAATAACGCTAGTGTCCACAATCTCAATCTCCTCATGTAACTTCTCGACTAAACACTTCCCTCCTCCGAGGACTGGTGGGTACAATCGAGTGCTTCCCGTCTCCAGCCCTTGCCAATCCCTAAAAATGGCAAAGCGGGCTCCATAAGACAGGCAGACATGAAATGAAGGTCTGCGTTCGTGGCTATCAGTGGGGCCATCACTGCTGCACTACTTCTACACCAATACAGTAGTGAGTTCTTTTTGAATCACTGGGTGGACCTTATTCCACCGCACTACGTGGCATCTGGGATACTTTTAACAGCGAGAGTTTCGCTGATCGCTCTGGGCATGCCGTCGTTCATCGTGACACCGTTGCAGAAGCATCATACTTACAATGACCATCTCTGAAACATCAGCTATCCCTCACGGATCATGGGTCCTGGTTACTGGGGCCAATAGCTTGGTCGGATCAAATGTGGCCGATCGGCTGCTTAGTCGCGGGTATCGTGTCAGGGGAACCGTGCGGAATGCGCAGAGGCACCAATGGATCGGAGATCTTTTCCGTGACAAGTATGGGAAAGACAGCTTTGAGCTGGTCCAGGTCCAGGACATACAGCGTCCGGGTGCTTTTGACGAAGCTATGAAAGGTCCGTACACTCTACATTATTCACTACGATACCTCACTAGTTAGGTGCTCAACTGTACAATTCAAAGGTGTCTCGGGAGTTGCACATGTAGTAACCATCTTTGCCGGTCCAAACGATGGTCCGGATGAGATATTCGAATCCATCAAACGGCTGGATCACCATGTCCTTGCCTCCGCGGCAGCCGAGCCCAGCGTCAAACGCTTTGTCTACACCTCCTCCTGCCAAGCGGCTAACACAATGGGCTTGGATGATCTGGATGGCAAGACAGTGATCACCTCGGAGACTTGGAACGAAACTGCCATTCAGCGAGCCAAAACGGGGTCTCCTGCCGAATGGAGAAGAGGATTTGACGTCTACAGCGCAAGCAAGGCCTTTGGGGAGCAAGGAATCTGGGAATGGGTGAGAGAGCACAAGCCCGGGTTCGTAGCAAATACCGGTAAGCACGTCTCTCCTTCCACTCTCAGAATATGTTCCAATGATTTAAACCATCATGTCCAGTTCTACCCTCATTGTGCTATGGTGCCTCTCTCGACCCACAAAATCAAGGGTTTCCTTCCACTTTGTCATGGCCAGCAGCCATCATCAAAAATGACTGGGCCTCAGTTTCCGAACACGTGAAGGCCCATCTCCCAATTGGTACGTTTGAACCCCATCCGTAGCCCCGAGCGATACGAAGAATGGAAGCTAATTAACCCTGAAGGAGGGTATTGTGTGGGCATTGAAGACGCCGCACTTCTGCATGTCGCGGCTTTGATCAATCCCACGGTCCAAAACGAACGCCTGTTTGCGTATGGCTGGCCGTTTTTCTGGAACGATTTAGCTACCATCTATCGGGATATATTCCCGAACCGCGAGCTGCCAACAGATCTGCCTGGCCCCGATAAGGATGCCGATTTGTTGGATGTTAAGCCTTCGAAGCGGTCGGAAGATCTACTTAAAGAGATGGGCAAGCCGGGATGGAGTAGTCTCAAGGAGATTGTTGTGGCTAATGCATATGGTCTGGTTTGAGGGTTACTTCTTGGCAGGGTTATTCGTCGATATGAGAAGCCCCATCCTGGTGCTCACATTCACATACACATTTAGTGTGTCGTTGAGCCCATTTGTACCCATGGGCAACCAACTATATTGAATACTTGACAGGATTAGATAGCTCAAATCAAGAGCATAATTAAAAACAAACAGCATTAAACATTAAAATATCCCGTAAAACCGAAAATGGGCACCAGCATGATCTATCGCTTGACAAAATCACTCTCCTGTGCAAGCCAATCCCCAAAGTTCTTCAATCCCGGGTGCTTCTTCCTCAACTCGCCGATGTTAACCTGGTAACCTTCGTCATGGAACCATCTGTACATGTATCCCATATCCTTGATAGCGGCCAACAGCAAGGAACACACGAACTGGAATGTCAGGGGTAGCTGCTGACCGGTCTTCTGCTGAAATACCTGTGCCATCTGATCGAAGGTCAAATCATCTCCCGCCAATGATACCGCTTGACCCTTGTACTCATCCGGGTTAAGAAAAGCGTCTGCGCCAAAGTGACCAATGTCACTGACAGCAACCACCTGAAGGGGCTTCTCCTTCAGTGCCATCTTCCAGGACGTCGCAAAGACCTTGCCCAGGAAACCGGGGACCATGTTATCCATGAACGCCACGGGGCGCAGAATAACCCAGTCCATGTCGGTTCCTTTAGCTTTTTCCACCAGATGATGCTCGATGTGATGCTTCCTCAGAAAGTGAGGTACATCGGTCGGGTTGTTCCAGGAACGTTCCCCGCCACGATCCACGGAGCTGTAGACGAAGTACTTGACATTCTGCTTGAGGGCCTCATCGATCAGTTTCTTTCCTTGTGCTTCCTCATCGATGTTGCTGCCGATGGCCACCTAGCAGATACTGTTAGTATCTCATTGCTGGGATGAAGATTGAAAGAGCGGAGGAAACCTACCTGAACACTAAAGACACCCCAAATCGGAGACGATGTCTGAGCGCGTGCATTGCGAAAGATGTCTGCCGGGTTGTCCAAGTTGCCTTCTACTAGTCTGATCTTGGAAGACAGCTGTTTCAACCGTTGAGCTGAAGCAGAAGAGGAGTCTCGCGTGACGGCCAAGATCTCCAAGGGAGATTTCCGAGAGATGAGGTTTCGGATGAGAGAGCCTCCCTGTTTGCCGGTCGCGCCTGTTATCAGTACCGCGTTCATGGTGGTGAATGTGTGAATTGGTCGATGCGTGTAACTCTAGTGATACTATTACTAAGTATTGTCAAGTATTGGATGATGATGATGATGATGAATTGATGTCGAGTTAGGTGCAGCTTCTATCGAGATATATAAATACTGAGGTAGGAGAAGTAGACAAATACGATATGATGTAACCTAATGCCTTCCAGGACCATCTTCGCGTAATCAACAGCGTGATCTTGAATGATTAAATCAGCCTCTCGGGTTTCGGTCTTATCAATCTCCTAGATTGATCAGTTCTGTGATCGACTGGTTGTCTCAAAAAAAGTTCCTCGATCGGAGTGGCTCAAAGCCCCGAGATGACTAAAGCGCCACCCGATCGGCCTTGAGATCAAGCCCGATGCTTATTCCTTCCTTTTGCTTCTTGTGCACCCAGGGCATCTGATGAAGTCACCAACTTTCCCCATGCCATTTATCAGGAAGGCCCAGGCCAGAATAGCAGAGGAATGTCTATTTCATCGACTACCTAATCTTCAGCTTCACTCTGCTCAGAGTACAGACCACCCGAGTATGCTTCTGTGCTGCCCGTCCACCCACCCCACGGAGACCGAAGTGGGCTAGCAACTCGCATAGAACATGGAGATGATGATGAGTTCCTAAGTGATGACTTGATGATGGGCGGCATATACAATCATCTATTAAGCAAGCTACATTGATCAATGATGATCCCGGATTACTACCCCAGTGATAAATAGACGGCATAAAGATGTGGAACTTGCTTTATGCATAAATCCTCAATCATTCAGTTGGTGGATCCACTTTTGTCCCATGTTTCTGGCCTGATATTCGGCAACAGGCAATCCGACCGGAGCTTAACACTAATCAAGAACATCCGGCTCCCGATCAACGAGAGTCCCCATGTTATAGATAAATACACATGGAACCCATTTCCGGATCCCCAGCCTTCGGCATCCCGGCCACTATCTATCTAAACTCTAGCGCATAAACACCACCATTCCAACCATGTCCGGCCTCACAATCCATCACCTCCGCCTGTCTCAATCCGAGAGAATCACCTGGCTCTGCGAGGAGCTCGAGATTCCCTACACTCTGAAATGCTACAACCGCCAACCGCCCACTCTCATGGCCCCAGAGGAGTACCGCAAGCTCCACTGGTCCGGCACTGCCCCCATTATTGAAGACAACGGCGTCGTCTTGGGCGAAACCATGGCCATCATCGAATACATCCTGACCAAATACGGCAATGGCCGTCTAGTTCTATCCCCAGACCACCCCAAGTACGCAGACTACGTCTTCTGGCTGCACCGGGCACAGGGATCGACAATGCCATCCTTCATGGGGATGCTGTTCAGTCGGATCCGCGGTACCCCATCCGAAGAGGACTTTGTCTACAAGATGTCTGAATCACGGGTGAAAGCCACCTGTGAGGCGATGGAGCAGCAACTAGCCAAGAACACTTATTTGGCTGGAGAGGAGTTCACCGCGGCAGACTGCGTGTCTGTCTTCCACTTGACGACGCTGCGGCTGTTCGTTCCCTACAGCCTTGAGGAGTATCCTCATATTGTGCGCTACTTGGGGCGTATCGGACAGCGTCCGGCGTACAAGAGGGCTATGGAGAAGGGTGATCCTGATCTGGTGCCTTTGTTGGCGGCGGCGGCGCCTGCTAAGGCGCTGCTGTGATGTGCAATTAAATAATGTATATATCTGAAGTTTAAACTAGAATCTGATTTCGTATGTCGAGATACGCTATCAGGAATATGTAAAGTACTTACCTTCATTAAAGAGCACAAATCCTCCGAGTCTATAAAGTCTAGCTTGAATACCTTGGTAATAGGAGGACAGCTTGTGCAAGTGCAGTTCGACTAGTCGCCATCTACGATCAACACTGCTTCAGACACTATATCTCTCGTGAGGATATCAGGCATAGACAACAACGGACTCACTTCCTATCCAATCTATCCAACCTCTCCAACGCCCGCCTCCTCCCCAACCCCCCCAACCAGACCCTAAGATCAAACTCCCCCTCACTCAACTCCCCTTCATCCCCAACAAACACAAACAAATGTCCATTCTCCCTCCCAGGCTCTTTACCATCCGTATACACAACCTCACAAAGTTCAGCGCGATACCATCCCGTCTCATAATTCGCTAGCTTCACCCCGTCCTCCACAGACGCCACACGATACACGACCCCCTTGACTACGGAGGAAGAAGTAATAGCCGGTATTATGGCCGGGTACTGTCCCCACAGTTCACAGGCGTAGCCTGATACATACGCAGGTCGTAGATCTATCTCCTGATCTGTGTCCAGAGATAGAATGTCTTGTAGCATGGAAGGATCCATGAACGTGCCGTAGAGAAAGTATGGACCTGTTGAGGCTGTTGTTGTGGGTGGGGGAGGTGGTTGGGGGACGGCGAGGGAGCGGGGCGGGACGGTTCGGAGATTTCGTATGACTGGGGATACTTTCGTGCGGGGGTCTGATGGGGGTGGAGGTGGAGGTGGAGGAGCGGTTTTGGTGATTGGAGGGGACATGGTGGTGAGATTATAGACTAAGGAGTGTGTAGACAGAGGTAGAAGAGGGTTGAGGGGTTGACGATGGATCGACAACCGGGGAAGCGTGGGTAAGCGCCGACGGCTAAGAATAGACTACCGGTCGATCACGGAATTTCAACGTGCCATATGCTAAGTGATATGCAACTGCAGGTTAATTACATCAACAGAGACGGTCATTACGCTATCGACTTTCAAATGTACCAGGAATGTCTGTGTTAGATGTCCTCTTCTAGCCGAGGTATCAGGTGAGTAGGGATGCTCATGCAGCACATCTGTTACAGTAGACGAGAAATCAAGCTTCAAACATCCCAGTCATGGAGGCTGCTATCGGCTGTTACCGGCCGATAGTTAGTGGTAGCCGGATTTGTGACCTTGATAAACCCGGTTGGCACTCCACTTCTACACCAAGCACTTCTGACCCTTGCGTCCGCGGCAGGGAGGACAGGGGTTTTCAGCATATAACGCAACAACAGCACTGGAAAAAGCCTGTAAGAGGCCGTGGTTTCCAGTTGGACTGGCTCAGGATGCAACTCGGACTCGAACTTGCAATGTAACGCCATGCTGTATCAACTATTATATCCCATATGGTGCATTTCCAGGTCGCACAAGGCACCCATGGAATGCGGAGGCCCGATCGTGTTCGCCGATAAGAACCTGTCAAGCCAGCCCAGTGCCGTCTAGACCCTGGTAAACTCGGCTATAGCACATACCAAACGCACGATGGCCTCCGTGAGGGAGTGCTCCTTACTTCGAATCGTTGCTGGAGGGGTCATGAGATATTTTCCGCCACACCACGGCCCTGCGCGATTTTGCCGCAGACACGGCCATACTGAATGACTTCGGTTGGGTATATAAGCTCACTGATGGGGCCTCTCATGGGAGGAATTGAATCCAACCATGGGGCTCGTTGCGGAAACCCGACAGGCCATCCGGGACTCCCCCCGGGGGGTCTTTAACTGGTACTTGTTGATGAACATTGCCATTTTCGCACTGTCTGGAATCAGTAGGGGGTTTGATGAAGGTAGAGAGTGAAGATCATATGTCATGCAGGGTGCTGATCTTCGCAGCGAACATCGCATCGCTGGTCGTGCAATCTCGGTTTCGGATCAAATTCGGGCTCGGCCAGCAATCCCCTGACGAATATGCCAATACCAAAGGTTGGATTGTGTCCATGTTCACGGCTGGAATGACTCTGGGCTGTCTGCTAGTAAGATATCTATCTAATCGGAAGGTGATTATAAGTCGGGCTAACAGCTACTATAGTGTTTACCCTTCAATGATCGAATTGGGCGGCGGTGGACGATGCGCCTGTCGACCCTAGTATATGTCTCTGGAGTGTTGGGACAGGGTCTCTGTAATGGGAACCTGTCTGGACTATACGCATCGAGACTGATCGCGGGTCTTGGGGTGGGCGGCTTGACTGTGACCCCTCCGATGTATATCTCCGAGGTACGCAAATGATCCTTGAAAGGGGACTGGGACAGACTGACTGTATTGCAGGTTGCCCCTAAGACCATCCGCGGGCTGCTCGCAGTCCAGTTTGCCGCATGTCAGCAACTGGGAGTTGTCTTTGGATTCTTCATCAACTATGGTATTACCAAGAACTACGATGGAACAGATATGCAGTGGATGTTCCCAACCTTGATCCAACTGGTCCCTGCCGCAGTCTGGGGCCTGGGACTCCTGGTCTGTGAAGAATCTCCCCGGTGGCTGCTGTACGTGGGTAGGCGAACCCAGGCCGTATCGGTACTGGCTAAGCTGCGTCATTTGCCCTCGAGTCACCCAACTGTAGTCGCAGAGATTGCTGTCATGGAATTTCAGATCCTGCAGGAGCGAGAAGCGGCCTCGGGCACATCACAATGGCACCTAATCAAGGAGACGGTAGTCCCGGTGGAGAACCGGCGTCGGTTCTGTCTAGTGATGCTGGCACATCTGTTTTCGCAATGGTCCGGAGGCAACGCCATCACGCAGTACTTGCCCACGATCTTAGGCTATCTGGGGACGACCGGGGATGCCTTGTCCCTGACTACGGCCCTCTATGCCGTGGTCAAGTTTACCGCCTTGCTGATCTTCTCACTCGTAGTGGTGGACTTTGTAGGCCGACGACGGTCTCTTATGGCGGGAATCACCCTTCAGATCGTGACGCTGGCATATCTTGCTTGTTACCTGGGAATTTCGCGACAGATGTCGACGACGACCATCCTCCACGCGGCCAGCGCGACGCATGCCTCGAGAGCAGCGATTGCAGCCATCTTTGTGCACGGGGTTGGGTGGGTGATCGGATGGTTCTCGATGCCCTTTCTGATCGGATCGGAAATCTTTCCCATCCGGATCCGATCGCTGGCCTTGTCGATGGGGATGGCGGGGCACTGGCTGTTCGCGTTTGGGTGCACGCGGGCGACGCCTGACTTACTGGACGTAATGGAGGAATGGGGAGCCTTTGCATTCTTTGCGGGCATCTGCCTTGTCTCGCTGGTGTATGTGTTTTTTGCGATGCCGGTAAGTGAATTAACTCCTTGGGTGACGGTGGAGGGTAGGGAGAGACAAACGACGGGGGAACTGACAGCACACAGGACACGACGGGCCGATCGCTCGAGGCACTGGATGGACTGTTCCAACGACCGTGGTACTCGGTTTATCAGGTAGCGTATGCAAAGAAGGAGGACGAGGAAATCGAAGTGCAAGCGATACAAGAACGGGGAAAGTCGGAGTTGGCGATGGTGGAGGAAGCATAAAGCGCAAGTGGGCCACCATCTGATTGATGGTGGGGATTGTTGGTGCAACTGATTCCGATCTTATTCTTTCCATGTATCATGAAGCACGTGGGGGTTTGATTGTGTAAGCTCTGATTAGTAGATAGACGATGGAGCAAAACGAATCATGGGAAAAACTCATAGCCACTCGGGTGTTATAGTCGGGTGTGATAATGATAATATTAAACTTCAGGAGAGGAGTAGTAGTAGAAGGACGCATGCGATGCGACTGCAACCCCGAGAAAGTTTAAGACCAGACCCTGAGAGGGAAGAAGAAGCAGAAAGGAAAAAGTAGCGATTGGTGGAGGAATCCGAGATACTTTCTGATTTTAACCCCCAAAGACTCAGTCCAGGAAGGCCAGCCGAGCAGTGCGACCAACGGCTTTGCCTTCATTGGCCAGTTGTGGATTAAGCTTGGCTTGAGGGGGGGAAAGAACAAACACCTCTGACTCAGTTGGACTGAGTTCGTATTTGACTACTACTTAGTTACTAGTTAACTAGTATCTAGTAACTACTATTTATACCCATAAGTTACATACGCAGGCTTGATAAGAATAGAGTGGTTGGTTACATCACTGCCAGCCATGTGTCAGCCATGTGGGCAGGAGGACGGAATTCATCCATGATGGGTTTTATCCCCAAGTTAGTATACAGCGACAAGACCTATCATATCATAACCACTGTATCACTGACTCTATCCACCAGAATGCAGATTGGATAAAAGTCAAGCTTTGGAGATGATGCATGCATCCAACGGTTTTTCACTTTACAAACTCGCACAGACCTTCGACAAGAACCACAGACCGGCCCTCCCATCCGACCCAGGGTTTCCGTCATTTTGCTCTCCATCACCTGAAACAATTAGTAGGAGTGAATACCAACTGGGAAGAGGGAATGGAACCAACTTCCAGACCCTGCTTGATGTCATCTTCTCTAAGTGGATATTCTCGGATATTAATAACCGGTGTCCGAGTTAGTGTGTCTCCATCTTAATCACTAGTATTCTCCATCTCCATCCTTAATCCCATCCCATCCCCATTCCATCTCCTCCGCGTCCTCCGCCGCAATCTGGCTCTTTCTTCTCCCTCATCTTTCTCTCTTGTACTTCTCTCTCTCTCGTATCCTTATCTCGAGAGATACCTTTTTACTTCGACAACCACACACCCACCTTCTTTGTCCTCCCTCAGTCTGACTTCCAGCCAACTCACTTCCCATGCGCCATTCCCGGCGACACCCGAGCCATGGCGGAGGGAATGCGCGACGAGCAACAAGAAGGGCCATCGCGGGCCTCGACCGTGCCTGCCATCATCACCACCAACGCCTCGTCGTCCAGCATCATTCACCACGATCTGTCCACCTCCGCCTCCAATAGTCCTACCATCTTCAATCGCGGCGATCACAGTCCCAGTTCTCCCAATCCTAGTCTCCTCCGCTCCTCGCAAAGTTTTCCGATCGGTACGTCCCAATTACAACCATAACTACTGCTGCTGCTACTTGAACTTCCCTCCCCTACCTCCCGCAAGGCTCGCCCCGGTCGCGCTGGCCAGTCATCTTCTTTCCATACCCTCCGACCGGGCCCAATCCATAAATCCACAATTGTGAGCATCGTTGGCTTACTCTTCCTCCGCCCGGGGGATTATCCTGTGCAGGCTCCGCCTCCGATGTGACCGTGGCGTCGAACGGATACCAACAGCATGCCAGAAAGGATTCCCGCACCCTTCCGGCCGCCAGCAACGGCTCCGTCAAGAATCTCGCCTCCTCCCCTACCTTTGTCCAGTCCAGCGCCGACTCCAGCGCCATCGATCCCCTATCTCAAGTAAGGCTCATACTGTGTCTTTTGTGCCTCTGGAATTCGCCTCAGCGGTTGATTGACTCTGTGCGTCGCGATAGCATATCATCAAACGAACCAACACCCAAAAAACCATTCCTTTGAAGCTGTTAGGGAGAGCCTCCACCGAGGCGGAGCTGGGTGGAAGCGATCCACGCGCCTCGTTGGACCATGGCTCTGCCCGCGGAGAGACCGCGATGTATACGAAGGCTCCGAAGGAGAAGAAGTAAGTGCCAGTTGGCCTCGCCCGGTGCCGAGTCAGCCAATGTTTCCCTCTCAGCCCCGGCTGACGGCGTGACCCCGCACTGTGTCACCCGTCGTTCGTTGCTTCTTATCCCATGCAGTTCCTGCCCAGGAACCGACAGCTAATTCGGTGGGCTTCCCTCATAGGAAAGGGGTATCCTTCCTGAGTCGAATCATCCCCGGCAAGAAGAAGACCGAGTACCCGGACGACGAGGACGATGTCTCCGAGCCCGAAACTAGCCGCATGGATCCCGACGCTGCCGCTCAGCCCATAGGCTTCGTACCACGATTTCCTCCCCCACCGAAGTACATCCGCGTGCGCGCACACTACAAGAAGGAGAAGACGTTTAACCGGGTCTTCCTGGCTCAGGAGCTGGACGGCGCCGACGACTCGGCCAGCGTCTCGGACCATGACGCCATCTCCACGGCAGGCCCGCAGAACGAAAAATATACGGGCAAGGCGATCTGGGCGCTGGTGTTCTCCAATGATGGCAAATACATGGCTGCCGCCGGGCAGGACCGCAAGGTGCGCGTCTGGCAAGTCGTGGCGTCGCCAGAGGATCGGACCTCCAGTGAGCCGGGCAGTGACGATGATGCGCCACGACTCAACGCGCAAGTGTTCAAAACGCAACCGGTCCAGGTGTACGAGGGCCATACCGGCAGTATCCTGGACCTCAGCTGGAGCAAGGTACCATGAAAACTGACTATAGGCGGTGCAATGCGTAGCATCCACTAATGCGGGCGACAGAACAATTTCCTGCTTTCCTCCTCCATGGACAAAACCGTCCGGCTGTGGCATGTCAGCCGACCCGAGTGTCTCTGCTGCTTCCAACACAGCGATTTCGTCACCTCCATCCAATTCCACCCACGCGATGACCGGTTCTTCCTAGCGGGATCGCTGGATACGAAACTGCGACTCTGGAGTATTCCCGACAAGAGCGTGGCTTTCGTGGCCACGGTCCCCGACATGATTACCGCGGTGGCATTTACACCAGACGGACGACATTCGATCTCGGGCAGTCTGAACGGACTGTGCAATATCTACGAGACCGACGGCCTCAAGGCGGTTGGACAGATTCACGTGCGCTCTGCTCGTGGTCGCAACGCCAAGGGCAGCAAAATCACCGGAATCGACACCATGTCGTTGCCGCATGGCGACCCGCACGGCGAGGTCAAACTGCTGATCACCAGCAACGACTCCCGCATTCGACTCTACAACTTTCGCGACCGGACGCTGGAGGCCAAATACCGCGGCAATGAAAACACGTGCAGCCAGATCCGCGCCTCCTTCAGCAATGACGGCAAACACATCATCTGTGGCAGTGAGGATCGCCGCACCTATGTCTGGCCGGTGGGGCCCGTGGAGAAAGACGCCGACAAACGGGCCGTGGAGATCTTCGACACGCAATCCGCCCTGGTGACGGCCGCCATCATGGCGCCCACCCGCGCCAAACAGGTCTTGGGATTTTCCGAGGATCCCATTTATGATATCTGCAATCCGCCTCCTGTGACGCTCGTCAGTCAGGCGGACAAGGAAAATGGACGAGCAAACCGCATGTCGGCGGCTAGTAAGCTGGCGCAAGAGTCTCCGACGTTCATGTCGCGGTCCACGCACCCGGATGGGAACATCCTCATCGTGGCAGACTATGCCGGGAAGATCAAAGTCTTGCGACAAGACTGTGCCTACCTGAAACGGCGCTACGACAGTTGGGACACGCATTCCACGATATCACGACGCATCCTACGACGCACCAACTCGGCGCGCCACAGCATTGCCTCCTCTATCGGCAAGGATTCAATGAAGACGACGCCGTCGGAGCGCATCATTTCGTGGCGCAACTCTGTTATCCGACATGGCAACCGCTCCGGCATGCGCACGCCGCGCACCCGCAGCCCTTCTCCCCACAAGTCAGTGCGCGACACTCTGCCGGGCTACGCCAGCCCGGGACGAGTCTCGACGGGAGCACGACCCGATTCGCGCTCCATCTATACCACCTCCCCTCCGCCCTCCGCCTATAAGAATTCCATGGACAGCCGACGATCCAGCGCAGACACCACCCGGAATGGGCACAACGGTGCTGCAGTGGACAGCAGGCAGCCCGTCGCCGGGACCACCTGGTTCCCCAAGGGCGGCGACAAAGATAACCCGCTCTGGTTGCAAGGGGAGCAGAGCTACGCATTCTACAATAAAATTGCGCATGATGCAATGACGGTGCAGAATCGCAAACGAACCGAGGGTAACGGACTCCTCACTCCGCATCGACTGTCGGTGCCGGGGGAGCGCCAAATGAGCCTGGGCAGCGCGCTGAGCAGCGACTATGCATCGTCGAACGGGGACGGGGACGACGGCGAAGTGTTGAAGTGCGATAATTGCCGGGGAACGAATTTCCGAGCGACCAAAGCAAGAAATGGGAAGCAGCGACTAGTGTGTGTGCGATGCGCCCGGCCTATTAGCTGATGCACAGTGTATATGATGTTGGATCAGGACGAGCCTGGACATAGGATGATTGATGTATATGAGCATGTAATTAGCTGTGTATGTATGTACAATAGCCTACAGGATAACAGTAGGCATCTATACGAGGGACGAGTGATGAATAACGATGAATTGACCAGAATCAGGTATTAGAGTCATAGATAATAGAGTAGTAGTAGTTTGCCGAGCTGTAGCATACATACTATGGGTGTTCGAGCTGTCAATCGACTGCGGCACCACACACCGCCCGCTAGCTCTAGTACCACCTAACCACCAACTTCAACTTCCCACCTCCGAGCGGCGCCGCAAAACACCAGAAATAATCCAGCTTCACATCACCAACCCCGTTCACCTCTACACCACCATTCCCTCTACCACACTCAACTCAGCGCACCAAACCTCCCAAATACATACTTCCTCAACTAGAGGACCCAACCACCGCCAAAATGCCCTACCTCCCAACCTCACAATCCTACCTCGAACAATCCTCTCTCCTCCTCCAAGCCTACCCAGACACGGTACATCCTTTTCTCCCCACCCCTACTACCTACCACCTACACCATAAGCTAACCAAAGTATACTATCGACAGAGAATCACAACAAAATACACCTTCCCCCGCACATCCACATCCACAAAACCCTCCTCGACAACACAACCCACATCTACAGAAGAAACCGAACCCAAACCCCGCATCGCCGTCCTCGAACTCAAGACCTATCACCCGGGATCCGGCATCTGTTTGAAATATCGCACGAACAAGGGCGCCGAGGTGGGTCGGTTGATTACCTCGTTGGGGAAGTTGGCTGCCGGGGCGGATGTTGAGGGCTTGGGGTTGGGGAATAATCCTGCTGCTGTTCCTGCTTCTGGTGCTGGTGCTGGGGATGTGGAGATGGGGGATGCTCCTGCTGTTGCTGCTGCTGAGGGACAGACGGTAGCTGGGGAGGGGGTTAATTCTGGTGCAGCTGGGAAGGGAGGGAAAGGGAAGAAGAAGGGGGGGAAGGGGAAGAGGTGATCTAATTATTTGTCTCTTTCTTTCTGTCGATGATATCTTGTTTCTTGAAAATGTGCATATTCTGTAAAGCTTTGGCATTGTGGTGAGGATACATGGTTGATCATGCAGCTGCGAGATAGTAGCCAACCGTCTTTATCTGGTCGGTGCATTGATTACTGCACTATGGTTGGGATGTCACGCTAGACATGCTAGGTGCTCTACGGCATCATCGTCAAAGTAATATCCAATGTACATTTCTCTAAATACAAGAGTCAAACATTAACAATTATAAGAAAAAGGAATCAATCCCATCCAATCAACGCCAATCCCATGCGTATAGTCAAATATCCTCGTAAACACCCAGAATCAAACATATCGTGGCTGGTGCCAACAACCGGGTATAGTGGCATCATTTTGTTGCGGTGTTTAGAAGTCCTCATCGAAGCTGAGACCGTTACCGTTGGTCTTGGGCTCCTCTTCCTTCTTCGTGCTGGCCATGACACCAGCCTTCTGGTAGTCACCCACCCGCTTCTCGAAGAAGTTGGTCTTACCCGCCAGCGAGATCGACTCCATGAAGTCGAAGGGGTTGGTGGCGTTGTAGTACTTCTTGTTGCCGAGGGCCACCAGCAGGCGGTCCGCGACGAACTCGATGTACTGGCACATCAGCTTGGAGTTCATGCCAAGGAGAGCACAGGGCAGAGCGTCAGTCAGGAACTCCTGCTCAATGCCGACGGCCTCGACGATGATGTCCTCAACAACCTGCTTGCTGGGACGGTTGTTCAGGTGGGAGAACAGCAGGCAGGCGAAGTCGGTGTGCAGACCCTCGTCACGAGAGATGAGCTCGTTGGAGAAGGTCAGACCAGGCATGAGACCACGCTTCTTGAGCCAGAAGATGGAAGCGAAGGAACCGGAGAAGAAAATACCCTCAACGGCAGCAAAAGCAACGAGACGCTGAGCGAAGGTAGACTCCCTGTCCTGGATCCACTTGATGGCCCAATCGGCCTTCTTGGCAATGCAGGGGACTGCAGGGGTTAGCATCCATTGACCAATCACAATCCCGGTTTGAGGTACATACTGGTATCAATAGCGTCGAAGAGGTAGGTGCGCTGCTTGGGCTCCTTGATGTAGGTATCGATGAGGAGAGAGTAGGTCTCGGAGTGGATGTTCTCCATCATGATCTGGAAACCGTAGAAGCAACGAGCCTCAGGGACCTGGACCTCGCCGCTGAAGCGCTCGACGAGGTTCTCGTTGACAATGCCATCGGAGGCAGCGAAGAACGCGAGAACGTGGGAGATGAAGTAGCGCTCGTCGTCGTTCAAACGGTTGTGCCAGTCGTGCAAATCCTTGGAAAGATCAATTTCCTCGGCGGTCCAGAAAGAGGCCTCGGCCTTCTTGTACATCTGCCAGATCTGTTGGGTGCGAGAATGCGGCGTTAGCGCACATGCCAATTGTCGCGGGCGGGAAGCGAAAAATTCCACTTTACGCGTAACGCGTAACGCGCGTGTCACTCACCTCGTGGTACTTGATGGGGAAAAGAACGAAACGGTGAGGGTTCTCTTGGAGCAGAGGCTCGCTGGCCTCCATCTCCTTGATACCGGGCGCGACCTTGGGGGCTTCGACAGGCTTCTCGACGGGCTTGTCGGCGGTCACGTCGACGGCAGCAGGCGCGTTTTCCTTGCCACCGAAGTTGAGCTTCTTAACAGGCGAATCGCTCATCTTGAGGTTCTCGAGGGAGGAAGCAGCCTATGGAAGCCACGCGTGTTAGCTTATCTGCCTCTAATTACGCGTCGAGGGTGGGAGGCGAGAGACGTGACATCACATACCTGCTTGGAGGGAGTGAGTTGTACAGACATGGTGTTGATTGTGTGTAGGTGAAGGAGATATAAGTCAAAGAGGAATTGATCACACAGACACAGAAAAACACTCCAATAGACTGAGCTGGTGGTGGGATGTGAAGAAAAAGAGCTGCAGCGAGGGAGGACGAGGCGACAAGAAATACTCGCCGGCAGACGAGAGACGTGATCCTTAGCGCGACGGGCGAGTCACGTCGCACGTGACTTGGCGCGACTTTGGACCCGGTGGCTGGCGGGAACAACTATTGATCCGGGCGGGTTGTTGATGCTCGGCGCGTCCATCACGTCTTGAACTCTGTCAGACTCCATCCTCACACCACCGGCTGGATTCTCATCCGATGTTTCGATCTCCACTGATCCATTATTCCTGTATCATTAGCTGCAAGACCTGCAGCAAGTTTCCTGAATTGTCCCTCTCCACATTCCTGAAGAGGCGGGTGCCTGGAGACAAGTCCGGAGCACGTCGATGCCTAGGGCCTTTAGTGAAAAAGTAGTCGCGTCTCGTAACCAGCTGCTATCTTATCAGATCGAACTCCCATCTTTGAGCCCCTCGATCGATTCTGTCAATCCATTCAACTATCTCTCCTTTTATCCCTTTTCAGTAATACGTAGTTATCATATAAGATTTCACATCTCTCATTATACATTTACACCAATCATTGGATAATGATACTTTGTCTCATGTCTCCATCTCCCAACCCACCCATACCGTACCTTACAGTCTCATCAGTCCCTGCAGTCTGCTTAGGTACTCTTTACGACATCATCAATCAGCCGAGCTCATCCGCCATCTCCACTCGGTTTAATCCGAGCTGAACAGAAATTTTGGATCGCCGACACCCCGAGTTGGGTTACTCCGACGGCCAAGAAGCAAGAGCGTCTGTGCTGAACGCGTCGCGTCTTGCTTTCCCCCATCCACATTGGGCAGCTGCCTGCACCCACCCACGGATTTACGGATGTTTTGACCCTAATGGAAGAAGGATCCTTGCTTCTCTTTCCCACTTTGATTCTAGATTCAGCTGGCCTCAGCTGGCCCCAGTGGGGGGCTTTCAGCCTGTCTTTGCTGTCGGTGATGACGTTACAGCTGCGACGCGTCGGGAGCGTGCTGCAACATTGATCATAGACAAAGATTTCATTTTCTTTCAGAGCAAGATAAAAAAGTAACATCGTCGCAAGGGTCTTCTTTGACATCGTTGACGAACTCTTTTGTTGTTTACATTCTCGGCTTTGGATCGTGTATGGACAGTTCCATCGGCACCAAACACGACGCGTCTGATCCCGAGCTCATGCATCCGACGGAAGAAAGCAATGCAATCATCATTCCTAGCTTGATTCAACATGGAACCACTGACTAGTGCGCGTAGTTGCTTGCCCCAATTGCTTTTATAAGCTCCATGGTATCCACATCCTGTCTTGGGCGGCTCGTCTAGTTCGACCCTCATTAACTGTTCATTTCCCCATATTGTGTCCGGTGAGGTTCTCGCGCGTCTGCAAATGACCATCCATGATGCGACATGACTTTCCTAAAACTTCTTGGACATTGCATCATATATAGTACTCCAACACCAGGCAAGTACTGCGCATGGCCAACTCTAAATCTATTCAAGCTATTTATCCAAATGTATCTCCAAAATCTAAGAGCACAGCATGACGACCCAAGACAGAACGCCCTATATACATACACGTCACGCGATGCTGGCCACGCTGCTGCTGCTCAACAATGCGGAACCAAAAACCATGTCCCGAAACGTCTCTATAAGTGTCGCAAAGTTTCAGGGGGGGGGTATGCCAATGTCGCTATTATACTACGGTGACTACAAGTTTTCCTTCAACGAGTCAGACAGGAACCGATCCTCCAGTCTGCGCATGACTTTGTTGGTCTGCTCCGCCAAACTGAGGGTCAAGATCTACAGCCAGGTTAGTGTATCGCCTAAGGGACTGGGTGTCGAACATCACATACCGTGTGAGGCAGAATGCGCGCAAGATGGGCAAAGTATCCCTTGTAAATCGCCAACACACCCTCCGTCTTGATGGTCTTGAACAAGCAATCGAACACGCCCTTGTAGAGGTTGCCCGTTTGGTTGTACATTCTAGACATAATGGTGTCTGAACAACAAGTTAGCTGAGTGCAGTCGTGTCGTAAGTGTAGAACATACCAGGCGGGTGCATAACACAGCAGACGACAAAGCCAGATGCCGTGCTACTGGCCAGGTGCAGACCTGGACCATCTTCCATGCCCAGGTGCTTCATCAGGCGGCGCTTGGCGAAGAAATAGGTCGGCAGCTGAACGGAACTACCAAAGCCAGTTCGTACCATCGCCGCGCCAACTCCACGGTATAAGCCAGAAACTCCCTCCGTCGAGTGGATCTTCCGCAGACCATCAAACGAGTTCTTATAGTTGTGCTGGGTGCCGACGGGCAGGAACGGGGAGAACGATTGCAGGCGAGTCTTGACCAGGAAAAAGGGCGAACCCGCAGCAGCTCCGATGATACCAGACGCAGCACCGGCGACGACATTCACACCCAGAGACTGAACTTGAGCATCCTGGTATATCGTGGTTGCCAGACCCTTGCGCAGCGGTTCGTAGAAACCCAGACGGCAACCGTTGAGCAGGACTTGGTAGATGTACTGCAGCGGCTGTTAGCGATACAAGTACCGTCAAATGCTGATATATGAACGTACAGCCGAGCCTATTCCCCGGAAAAGACCGCGGGGACCCTCATTTTGTAGAATAACCTTCACACCGTGCAAGACACCCCGGTATTTCTTGGCAGCGTCCTGCTTGGCCTGCAGTTCACCCTGTAGTTGCAGACTTTCGTAGTATACCAATTAGCATCCGGCGACACAGCTGGCGAGGAGTAATCCGCGACATTCCGAATAGGGGAGGAAGACTGTACCGAATCTTCACCGTCTCAAAGCTATGAGTGACCGTCACTGCTCCGCATGCTGCAACACCTCCTGCGATGAATGCTCTGTAAAGAACAATAGATTGCGTTAACGCGACCGTAATCTGACGAATTTGGGAGCACCACCACCACGTACCCTGTTGTTGTGGACATTGTATCTGTTCAGATTCGTCTCCGCTAACGGAGGGGAGTGGACCGAGTCTGCGCGCGGAAGGGCAAAAGCGAGGCCGACAAGGGCGCCGGTAGAATCGAGACGACCTGGCTGTTGCGTGAAGCGATGCTGAGTGCCCCAGGAGGGGAAGATGACAGTCTCAGTGACGGTGCAGTGGAAGAGTAAGGCGAGCGAAGGACTTGTCAGAAAGTCAAAACGGTGTCAGAGCTGAGGTGTTCATGCCGTGAGATTCCCTCCGCCATTCAAGTCTCCCTCCGACAGTTCCAACGCCGCTCGGATTGGTTTCCGCAGCCGATAATTGGTTAGTAATTGGCCACAAGATCCGCACTTTGCAAGTCCAGAGCCTCCGACCTCGGCCAATCGGTATCTCCACTGCCGATGGTAAGCGTCGGACCGGAACAATATCAGCCCGCGGAAGTCGGTCAAACGCGTCAAAATCCATCGTCAGGCGCGTCTGCTTCCCTCAAGTGACGACCTTGACTACTTCTCTACTCGGGTCAGTTTGGGTGGAATCCTTGCAGGTCGAGGAATCTCGGAGAAATAGCCGGGTAGAAGCAAAAGGATCTGTCTGGATTGTAAGCTAGCTTAAAAATCGTGGACATCCTGACAACTTGCATCCTGTTCCCCGCAATCGCATTTTATCATTATCTATCTAGTCAAGTCAAAGAATTATGGCGGAAGGTCAACCACAGCCGACGGCGCAACCACAGCCTCAGCAGCCAATCCTGCAATGCCAGAAGGTCTCGGATATCATTCGTAGCTTCCGTCCTACCAAGGTTAGTCCAATGGCTCATGTGGACTGGGGCGCTCATCTAATTATCGGTTTCTTCCATCATAGGCATTTCGAGGCCCCAAGCAGGATACTTCCAATTATGTCACGTCGCTAGACTTTGATGACCAGGGTGATTACTTGGTGGCATCCGGCGATGATGAAACTATCCAGGTCTTCGATATCAAGGAGGGCAAATCTACAAAGTCGGTCCCCAGCAAAAAGTACGGCGCCCATCTAGCCAGGTTCACCCACCACAGTCGTCAGGTCCTTCATGCGAGCACCAAGGTTGATGGTATGTCTGCTGCCACGCACCTCCATCCTTGTCCCCTATTCTGACCAACCTAGATTCCTTGCGCTTGTTGGACCTTCACAATGAAGGCTACATTCGATACTTCCAGGGCCACACCGACAAAGTCACCTGCTTGGCTCTGTCTCCGGGCAGCGACTCCTTCATCTCATGCTCCAAAGACGACACAGTTGCTCTCTGGGATCTCGGCTCTCGCAATGCGCAAGGAAAGCTGAAACTCGCAACTCCATATCTCGTGGCCTTCGACCCGTCCGCATCGGTCATCGCCATTGCCTCCCAATCAACCGCATCAGTCCTTCTCTACGACCTCCGCAACTACGACAAAGCTCCCTTCTCCAGTTTCGATCTTGCGCCGTACGAAGAACGCTATACGCCTTCTACCCGAGGCAGAGGGTGGACTCGCCTGGAATTTTCCAATGATGGCAAGCACTTGCTGGTCGGAACAGACTACCATGGACATTTCATTCTCGATGCTTTCGAGGGCACCGTTAAGGCATTCTTGGTGGGCAAAGCCGGATCACCCGGGAGAGCTGCACCGGTATCGACAACCGGGAAGCCTCTCGGTCAGGGAGATGCGTGCTTCTCACCCGACGGGCGATACGTGGTTGGTGGTTCGGGAGATCATTCCGACATGCTAGTGTGGGATCTACAACAATCTCCTCCAGAGCCAAACGGTCTATTGCAGCCAATGACTAGACTATCACATCGCGGACGGACTGCCATCGTTGAATACAACCCGAGGTACAACATGATTGCGTCTGCCGACAAAGAGACTGTTTTCTGGCTTCCAGAGGACCCTTCCAGATCTTCTGAAAAGTAGCGAGCCACGATGCCCCCATCAGCTGCTGAGACGACCCCGACAACAGCTATGAGCTCTGCTGGTCTAAACACCACTAATTGCAAGAATTTGGAAAGAGATGCTGTCTGATGTAGACGACTCTGAATGCTCGATCATTCTAGTCGTTGTCCGATCTATCGTTAAGAGTCTTCGAACTAGTTGGTCTAGTTCTTTCGATTCTTTTCTTTGCCTATCAAGCTCCTGGCAGTATCACACACCCAGATAAGAGGTCCCTCCAAGCTGTCATCTCCATCTCTGTGCTTCTCGATAATGGACTCAATCTCCTTGACCACGGTCCGATTGCTGGAGATCGTCGCCAGTCCCGCAGCCCATCCGTACAGAAACACACTATAGTTGATATCGGAGAGGTTCTCGGCCACCTTCTGATAGACGGGCGGCAGTTTTGCGGTATCTCTCGCAGATGCAATCACCGACTTTGCTTCGACCGTCTTGACGGGAATCTTCCAGTGTGCTGGTATCTCATAATCGGACAGCTCCTGGTATTTCTTGATGAGATCCTCTCGGCTATATGTATCATAAGGAGGCTCGCCGAGCAAAATTTCCATGCGCAACCTTTCAGTGTCGGTACCGATGATATTGACGATCTCTTTCATCCGTGTTGCAGCCTCCTCGACACACACTAGTTCATAAGCATCCATTGCAGGCCACAGCTCCGTGGGCAACAGAGGTCGCTCATGCTCAACGGCGATCTGTCGATTGATGGCCTTATGGTGCTGCGGAGACTGGGTGATATGTTTGTAATGCGAGAGATCTGAGACCGCAGCAAGCATCAATGTGCAGTCCACATTAACAGTGGAAGTGAAGTGTTTGAACGGCTTCGGAAGGAGGTGGGACAAGCCCTCCTGTGTACCAGTCACAGCATAAGCCTTCTCACCACAGTCCACTTTAATCCCATAGCCTCTAATAATCTTCAAAAGATCATCAATCTCTGCACAGCTTCCCTCGCGAATCCTCGGCGCCACAAACCGCAGCCGAGGATGTCTATACCTAACTCTCGTAGCATTGGCCGCGGTCCTCAAATCTTTAGCCAACTTCACCAGCTCAATCTCATCCTCATCCTCATCGTCCTCCACATGACCATTATCCCCATCATGGTTCCGTAGAACCGTCCTAGCCTCCCCATCCTCACTCTCAGAATCAGCCTCCCACCCCTTCTCCGCCATCTCAAACAACAACCTCGACTCCGCAACCGTAGACACCTTCACCCACTCCTCCCCATCATCAGCAATAATATCCACAAACACACTCTTCTTCTTATCCCTCCCCGACTTTTTCTCCGCAACACCTTTATCACCAGTATCATCCCCCCAATAAAACCTCTTCCCGAACGCAACCAACCCGCGACACGTATTCTTCGCAATGGCCCAAACGGCCTCATAAAACGGCAAATTCGAGGACTTCAACGTATGAACCAGTCTTCTCGCCGCCGAGTCATCCCCATCAGTCGCTCCAGCATCGGTATTATTATTATTATTATCCTCCCCATCGCCATCGCCCTTTGTCGGCTCAGGCAGTTTCTGCACCTGCGCGCCTAATTTCTCCAACGTGCGCAACTCCGAAAGCACATTCGACTTCAGCGACCGCACCTCCACGATCTGGGGGTTCCGTTGTGTTTCCACCAAAAGGGCCTGGAACTCGCTAATCTCGGCGAGGAGGGATCGACATCGCGCGAGGAGGGAAGCCGAGAGCTCTCGACTGACTTGGAAGGGAGAGATCTCGATCTCGCTAGTAGAGGCGACGTCGTCGTCGTCGACTTGGTTTCCGGAATGCGCCATGGCGGGTGTGGGCGCTCGCGTGCGTGCGTGTTCTGTCTTTGCTTGAGCTAGCTGAGGGGGGCGGGGGGTTGAATTGCGGGTGGGTTGCGTTCGTTAAGGGCGGAAAAAAGGAATGGTGGAGATGGTGTTGTTTTTGTTGACGTGTTAGGGGAGAAGGAATCATGGAAACCGACGGAATTTTTCGTGAGTCATGGCACTACACTGGGTAAGCAGGCCTTGTTGGAGACGATGCTCGGCGCCGCCGGGCTGGTCACCATGGTGGCCCTCGCGTGCGGATGGAGAAGTTGATTCTATGGGGGTTGTGCGGGAAGTCACCACTAGTTAACTAACGTTATAACGGTAGTATGACTTAAGCTCAGCCAGGTCGAACTGGACCCTGAATCGGATTGCCCGGCCCGAACCAGGAACATGTAGGCGTCCGGGCCATGGGAATAGACGCTGAAGACGCTGGGTAGATGGATTGGATCCACACACACACACACCCCGGACTGAGTCACCTCACATCAGAAGAATGCGCATGGTGGAAGCAATAACATAGACGAAGAACGAAGAGAAGATAGCAGGCAGCTAGCTGGTTACCACTAGTTTACACTTTCGTTTCGTTGCATGGCTTCATGTAGTTACTGAGGGTTGAGGAATCTGAGGCGTTCAGGGCCATTTTAATTGCTTCAAACGGTGAAGCACCGGCATAGCTAGCTGTTTCCATAGTGGGCTCGATCAATCATATGATTATGAATAGGATTGAATGGAAATGAGCGTATGATTTAGAGTGTTCCAACGTAGCTGGAAGTTGTTTCTCACTGTAGGATCAGTGCAAGTGATAATGGACCGGCATGGGATACTAAGGCTTGTGTGAATGCTGAGATAGAGTTACTGACGTCATGCCTATTGATCAGTGAAATGAAAACATTGCTTCATAACTGGAGTTACATATGGTAGAGAATCTATACAAAATAAAGGAAAAGATATCGCTCCTCCATTACATTCGAAGCAGAAAAGACACGAAACACTGAACAACGGGGAATACACCATAGGCCGAACGCCATCATATGCCTGCAAAGCCAACTAACACATGAAGAATACCAACACTTCCAATTTTCCCCGAAATATGGCAACGTAGCCGCATGTCTCCGACAGTCAAGACAGTCAAGACAGTAGACAAATAGCAATTGCGAGAATGACTTTTCTGGCCCTGCAATTTTAGGATGTCAATGCCCACGACGGGGCACGTGTAGCTTCGGAAGCCGCCTTTAGTCCTTGTGCTTGCCAGTAAGCCGCTCTCGTTCGCCGGAGTTGCGCGGCGATTCATCTTCGTCGTCAGACCATTTGTCCCCGTCCTCGCCGACAGCGAAGATAGTCTCACCGTCCAGGGACTCCCGTTGACGCGGGGCTGCAGGTACAGGCTTGGGAGGCACAGGTGACAGGTCACGACGATGCTCCGAACCGGAAGGTTCTTCGGGTCCGCCAAAAGCGTCCTCTTCATCCAATGCACTACCGAAGGAGCGAATCTCAAACCCGTCGTCGTCTTGCGCAATCTGGCATGTTGTTAGCTTATCTTCCATTCTCGCACAATTGCTCCAAACAAGGCTTACCTCGTCACTCATAGCGAACCGTCTGTTGTTAGCAGTAGGACGCCACAGATAGGCGACGAATCCGATATCGAAGAAGTACACCAGGTTCAGCCAGCCATCCAGCACAAACCATCTGGACTTCCAGTGCTCGGGGACGAAGCTGGCCTCGCTACGTCCTGCAAAGGCGATAGAGTTGATAAAGAAGAAACCGAAGATGACGACGATACTACCAAGAATGCACCACCAAAGCTTCTTGTACATCATGGCTTTCGTCTTCTGCTTTCTGTCGATAAGGTCCTTCATTGTCGCATTCAGGGAGTTCAACGTCCACACGTAGAATGCCGTGAGTGTACCAGCAAGAGGAAGTACGATGAGCAAGACGAGCGGGCCGGCGCTGTCCGGGGTAATCGATAGACTGGCGACAGCATATATCACAGCGAAGATGAAGTGGGTGATGGCAAGGATACGAACGTAGATCATCGTCCGACCGAGCGAGGGCTTGACAACGCCATAGCCCATGCACACTATCAGCAGGAGGAAGAACGAGAAAGCGTTACGTCCCGCATTTAGCACAGCAACTATGACCATCAATGCCTTTGCGCCGGTGTTTAAGCCGTTGCGGTTTTGATAGTCTGAATGGGCGTTAGCAGAGGTCATTGGTGGTATAAAGCGTTAGACATACCGTAGAAGCCCCAAGTCATCAACTGCTCGACAATGAGGAAAACAAGGATCGCGGTGATGTAATTTTGAACGGGCACTATAGACGATTAGCGGATAGTCACTGGACACCCACAAGCCTGTACTTACAGATATCGTGACGGTTTTGCACGTAAAGGAATGCCCAGAACCTATTTAGTATAAGCCCCACCCTGACTGAACTCAGCGACATTAGAAAATACTTACAGACCGACAACTGCGTAGACGATAGTCAAGCCACCATAGAACGGGAGCTTTGCGATCTGCGCAGCTGGAAGTTCACCGTATGAGTTTCTGAACTCAATGACGGCCTTGTAGTCCACGCCGGAGTATCCGTATGTGCTGACACAATAAAATCCAGTCTTTTTGATAGGATAATTGATGGCCGCGGGATCATTTAGGTGAACGGCTTTGGTAACGACGGGAAACTTGGAGGCCTCGGTGACATTCGAAGCAAGAATGAAAGAGCCGACTTGGTCTTCCGAACAGAGGTTCGCCTGCACACTGGCCTCGTCACAGATAGTTTCCCTTTCCTAAAGCCGCATATATGAGTTGAACTATCCAAATATAATCATGGTCAGGGAAGGGTGGTCGTACCCCAGAGTCACCCGGAACAGGCCGGCCGATGAGATTCTCATCGGACCATTCGAATATGACGAGACTGACGAGAGGATCGCTATCACCGGACTGGGGTTCTTGGACGAATTTGGTCAAGATGAAGGGATCGACACTTCCACCCCAAGCTTTGCGACTATACATTCCCGAACAACGCTGTCGATGAGCTTCATCTTGTGTCTGCGCGGAAATCGGATGTCAGCATCGCTGCCCAGATTATGGTGAAAGACAATGCGCACTAGTTCAACTTCATTTGCCAACACACATCCTGCCAGTAAGGCAGTTAAGCCAAGGGTCCGAAGCCAGCCTCTCATTGTGACAATGAAAAAGGAGCTATGCGGTAGGGTGCCTGGCAGTAGGACGGAGCTCCGGAGTCGCCGAGAGCAGGGTTTAGTTGCAGCCCTGGATCATAAGAAGCTCCAGGTACAATTTGAGGGCAAATTCAACGGAGGGAGTGGCCTTCTCAGGGGAAGTCGGCAAGGCTCGGATGCGTTGGGAGACCGAATGATGTTTGCGACGATCTCACGAAGCGTGGCTTGAACTGCTGAAACCGGGGAAGCCGCGTGTTGTTGACGGGGGTCCCGCCCATGGGTATTATCTAAGCCCGTGCTGCCAGTGGCTCTGCCCGCCGCCGAGAAATTCTGCCTGGCGAAAATCGCTCCCCACCCGGCATCCCGCGTGAAAACTAATTACTATCTACAATTTTATTGTATGAACCCAGTCTTACACTCCGCCCCTGACACCTACCAAAATGCCCGGAAAAGAGCTGCCTGATCGCTGCATGAACTGCCATGAGGCCCAACCGGCCTTTACATTGCGCGAGCGTTTCGTGTGCCAGTACGTCTCGCCTTCCCTATAGTATACCTGTCGCCGCTTCTAGTCCATACTGATCTCAGTTACCCCTCCATTCAGAGAATGTTATATTCGATTCTTGAACTTCAAGCCCTTCAGGCGCATGGAACGTTATCGTCTCCGGAGGAATATGCCACAGACCGGTCCCTGCAAATTGCTGCTCCCCCTTTCGTACGGCGTCTCCTCCACCGTGCTATTGCACATGCTGCACCAGCAGCTGGAGGTACTACGCTCAAAGAAACACGGCCCTGCAGGCTTTGAAATCCTCGTTCTCGTCGTTGAGCCTTCGACGATCTCCCCTGTTCCTCCGCACGAAGAAGGCTTTGCACTCGCGCAGCAAACCTTCCCACTCTGTTCCTTCACCCGGCTCCCCTTCCACAGTATCTTCGAGCTTGACCCGGATGTCCATCAGATCATGTCGCAGTATGCTGGGGAGAACTTCACAGATGACACTTCTCTATCCGATGAGGAGCGTTTAACCCGCTTCCGCAGGTCGATCTCATCAGCCACCTCCAAGTCCGATGTCGACCAAATCTTGTTGAACAAACTCGTCGTTGCTTTCGCAAAGAAAATGGAATGCCGTGGCATAGTATGGGGTGACTCTGACAGCAAGCTTGCCGCCAAGACGCTCGCCAACGTTGCGAAGGGACGCGGCTCTGCAGTGACGTGGCAGGTGTGCGATGGAATGTCGCCGTTCGGTCTAGAATTCAACTTCCCGCTTCGGGACGTGTTCACGGCAGAGATACGCACCTATGCCACCCTCTTTCCCGAGCTTGCTGGCATCATCGTTCAAGATGAGCCTCCCTCGGAGAATACGCTCACGAAGAACTTGTCGATCGATGAGCTGATGATCCGTTATGTCAGCACTCAGGGTGCGAAATACCCCGGCGTCATGTTGAACGTGACCAGGACTGCCAGTAAGCTCCAGTCGTCCGGTACATCTATCGGCGGACTGCAGTGCGACTTCTGCGGGGCCTTCATGACTACGAACGAGAACATTACGGGCGAACAAGGCAACGAACAGCTTCAATTTTGCTACGCCTGTGCTCGGTCCCAGCCCGAATTGACCTGTTAAATCAGGGTTCGTTCACATATTCATCTATACCGCGTTTGTGGGTAGGCATTATTATTTTGACTGTCCCGAATGCATCTATCTGTGACATCATCAATGCCGCCGAGAGGGCCGGGAGTTATCGATCACTCCAGTCTCAAGGTCATCCTCCGGTTGGGCTCTTCCTCCGAACCATCTGCCTTGTGAACGGCTTTTCTTGGGATCCCGTGCTGCTTGAGGCTTCGCTGGTCCATCAGTGTTCCTACTGTGCGGCTGGCCTTTGTGGCTAGATGGCTCACCCGAAGTATCATCGTCATAGCGGTCGAACTCGTCCGGCAAGCTCATATCCGCTGTATCCTGCCTCCTCTCTTGTTTGGCAAGCGCCTTGGCCCCTTTTTCCCGCAAATGTTTTTCCAGAAGCACGGCATTCCGCGTGTTGCATTTGTACACGGCATCAGCAACGTCACCAATGAAAGGAACCAGGCCGATAAAGAAGTCGATCACGATATTCATGAGCATCATCATTCGCAGCCGCGATGGGAGGCCCCCGTCGATTTTGTCACAGGTGTGCACCACCATTAAAGCCAATGCTGCGTCTGCTCCATCTCCAATACTGTTTGATTCCTTGCATGAGTCTCGGATTGTACACCATCTGCAGAGATTGCAACTTACAATGGGAATAGACCTATAACACTTCCCCATCCGAATCGGATTCCACACAGGCTAAAGAGACATAAGTCCAAGCGATATGCTCTTCTTTTCACTTGCGTCAGAACCTTGCTGTCGTTCTGCGACAGGCCGGGAGGGACTGCTTTGCGTCGCTTTTGTGTTTTCTTCCCGAAGGCGCGATTCAAGCGTGACGCGGGAACCTCTTCGAAATAGGGGTCCTACAACAACACATTGTCTTAGCCCATAGTTTACCACAGTAGGACGGTTCAGAAAATGGAATGGGTTTTACCTCTTGTCCAAAATGATTCCGGGCGGATTCTGCGAGAATCTTCTTGCCCACTAGATTTGCAAGTTGCGCCGACATGGCTTAGGAGGTGGCAGGATCAGATGATGGAAGGGAGTCAGAGTAAGGGGAGGAAAGGTCTCTGTTAAGAAAAGCAAAAAGAAAGGGGACGTTGGAATGTGCCGGATCGATCAGGCACCCTCTTCAGGAGGGGATGCTTGGCTGACTATATAACCGCCAAGCTCTCAGGAGCAGACGTATGTATGTCTAATGAAGATTCGATAAAGGATCTCCGATGTAAGCGCCTTATTTTTGGACAAAGGGGTTTCGGGCGGCTTTTTAAAACCATGGGATACATTGTGCGACAACCAGTCAACGACGACAACGTCGACAATGACCTGAATATCTGGAACGCGAGCCGCGCATCGACGTCATTGCAGGATCCGGCGCGACCACCAGCAGACATTACGTAACCCCCCTCACATCTCACTAGCCACATTATTGATACTTGTGTGTAACTGCGCCACATGTAATTGATTGTGGCGCAGTCAGCTGGTTCCCCTAAGCGGACTAGACTAGTTGGTACTAGTAACTAACTAATGAGTGACTTCCCCAACCCAACTCATTCGCAGCTCACTCACTCTTAGCCGTCCTCCATTATTGTTAGGCCGTCGGGTGTCGACCACAAGAGCCACTTTTCCCTCACTCTCTACCCACCTATCAGCGCTTCTTCTCTTGGTTGGAGGTAGATAACCCATTGGTTTTACCCTCACATCCCTGCCTCCTTAGCCTTCTCGCACAAAGTACGCTTCAGGGTTGGCGCTTGCCAAGCACCCTTCCTTGAAGCTGCAGCAGCGCGCTGTGCTGTCCCCTCAGTCCTCGTTCGCTCCGCCTCGTGCTCTCTCCGCTTGACGCTCGGAGAGCTCCTTGCCTGTCCTTACCTCTGCTGAAATGCTAGAGCACGTTGTCCAGTATGACAGAAACAAAGATGCAGTTGGAAGACTGTGAGTCTCGCCTTGACGCTTGTCTCCCCCGCCCGTGTGGCTACGGTGACCTCGGCTGTGCTAACTTGGATGGCTCCGGGCAGGGCTGGATGATTTATGTGTTCGCTTTATCATTAACTTACCCCGAGAAGAGCTCGAATCTGTTGAACGCATCTGTTTTCAGGTTGAAGAAGCACAATGGTTCTACGAAGACTTCATTCGGCCGTTGGATCCGGCTCTCCCGTCCTTGTCCCTGAAAGCCTTTGCTTTGCGCATTTTTCAGCATTGCCCATTGATGTCCCAATGGTCGCATTATCATCATATCACCGCATTCTCCGAATTCCTGGCCTACAAAACCCGGGTTCCGGTGCGCGGTGCCATCATGCTTAACGATGACATGGATGAGGTGGTCTTGGTCAAGGGTTGGAAGAAAGGCGCCAACTGGAGTTTTCCACGAGGCAAAATTAATAAAGATGAGAAAGACATCGACTGCGCCATTCGAGAAGTCTACGAGGAAACTGGTTTTGACGTTCGGGAAGCCGGATTGGTCCAAGATGAGAAAGATGTCAAGTTCATCGAAATCACCATGAGAGAGCAGCACATGAGGCTGTACGTTTTCCGGGGCGTGCCACAGGATGCTCATTTTGAGCCGCGTACCCGCAAGGAGATTAGCAAGATTGAGTGGTACAAGCTGTCGGAGTTGCCGACACTGAAGAAGAGCAAGCAGCAAGATCAAGGCTTCGCCGTCGCCAATGCGAACAAGTTCTATATGGTAGCTCCGTTTATGCATCCACTCAAGAAGTGGATTGCCCAACAAAAGAGGCTTGAAGGAAAGACTCCAGGTGGTTCGAAGGTGCCTATGCAGAACGAAATGTCGATCGACGAAGCTTCCCATGCCGTGCACAGCTTCACACCGAACCAGGCGGCTGCGGAAATGGCTACTCCCAGTGACTTGCCAGAACTTGCGTCGACTCAGGACGCCTCTGCTCACCTTAAGCGCCTTCTCAACATTAACAATCTGGCTTCTTCTGGAAATACATCGCCGGTCATCCATGCACCAGTCTCAGGGCCTAGTGCCTCTAAATCTAATGCTCTTTTAGAGCTGCTGCGGACCGGCTCGTCTCGTGAATCCCTTCCACAAGCCCATATTCCAGAGCAGCAATCGATGCCGGCCCCTCTCCCAGGGAGTGTGCCTCCTGTGAATCGTCCTTATCCCGCGATGGGCTTCTTCCCGGGCTTTCCCCAGCAAGGCCCTCATGTCGGCGTACCCCCCAGCTTGCCGTCATACCCACAGCCCAATCACGGTCCTGTACCACACCTACCAGCATCCATTGCCAACACAATGCCTCATGGCCAGTTGAATCAAAGACCGCTCTCTGCTGCTCCTCCAGGGCCATCGGGTAGTTTTCACGGAAGTTTCCCCCCTCAGCAGTCGCTTGCATCACACTTCCACAAGGACACAGGTTCGCTAGCAGAACTCGCTCCCGCTCCGCAGAGTCAAGCCGCCCCTGCCCCCTACCATCGAACCGGTGATCCTCAATTCTCTCAATCAGGTCATCCTTCCCAAGCTCAAGGTGCGACCGTGCCACCGGCGAGAAACTTGCCTCCACCCAAACTTACGAGCCATTCCCTGGCTCTGTTGAATGTTTTCAAGGATGACTCGACCAAAACACCCAAGACGCCTAAGGCGAACTTGGTGTCCCATACTGGACCGGCGCAAGCCAGTGAACGAAGACCATCACAACATCAGGATCATCTCCTTAATTTGCTGAGAGGGTCTCCTGCTCCTGCTGTCTCTGGGCCGGCCGAACTATCGGGTCAATCAGTGTCCCCGGCCAGAAAACAAGTCCTTCAACGACCCCGGGGGGACCATAGCCCTGCGCGGCGCAGTTCGCCCGCGGCTAATCCATGGAGTTCTTCGCCAGCCTCTGGACCGACCATGCATACTTTACAACCCGGAGCTCAGAAGCCATCAAGAAAGGCACAGAGTGGGCCGAATCGCAAAGGACTCAGAAATGAGCAGGCATCGGCTGTTACGGCCCCTATAACAATCTTGGCAAGACCACAAGCCGCCAAGGAACAGCCTCCTGCACGCGCTTCTCCGCAGACCTCCCGTCCTCCCTCCCAGCCTAGGGGTCCGAAACCCAGTTCTCCGGAGCCACCTAAACCTTTCCAGCCGCAGATTCTACGTCGCTCTGATAATCCAAATGCGATGAATCTTCTGCCGATTCGGACTGCACTCAATGAGAGTCAAGATCAACAGGCCGCCGCACGCTCCACGGAGTCCCCTCGGCATTCGCAACCTCAACCCAGCTTCGACCGCCGACCGAGTCAAACTGTTGCGCAGAAGGAGATGCTCCTATCACTCTTTGGCAAAACCTCTGTCTCTCCAAATATTTCCCCTGCGGAACTGGGCGCATCTGTTCCGAAACCGTCGCAGCCTTCTTCTGTCGTTAGTCCACTGTCGCCGGTCAACTTGCCCGCTGTTCCTAACGTCGGACAGGCGCCTCATGAAATGGAGGATAGTCAGGCATCTAATGCCAATAAGGTGTCTTCGCCTGTCAATAAGGCTTTCTTGCTTGGGTTTCTGGAAGGAGTTGCTAAAGGACACAAGTAACTCGGTCATTTTTGCTTGATAGGACCCATCAGCTATACATATGCGTTTCTAATGAAGTTAGCGGTTCATCACTTCATGATCTTGAATTCAATTTGATATTGTCCATGCTACAGAGAACCCTTTTCTATGCGGAGTAGATTCTCCTTTTTGGGCTAGCTCGTAAGACAGATTATGTCATGTTCTATATACTGCCTTTTTCCACCGCCTTACCCACGATGTCATTCATGGGCCTCTGATTTGTAAACGCTACGCAGAACCAATTCCAGTATCAGCCCACAAACATGATGCGCTCCAGCCCATCTACACGCACAATATGTGCGCAATGTCTCGGCCGCAATCGATACTTCTCCACGACCGTCCAGCGTTGCGCCCCACGATCCACCACCCCGAACCCACCCTCCCCGCCAGCAACCGGATATGCACGTCTCACAAACCGCGGATTAATCTCCATAACAGGCATCGATAGCACCTCATATCTCCAAGGCTTAATCACCCAGAACATGCTCATCACGAATGACCCGAACCGTGCAACCCGTCGAACCGGCTCCTACACTGCTTTCCTGAACTCCCAAGGCCGAGTGCTCAACGACGCTTTCCTCTACCCACTACCCCAGGCAGAGGGCACATCACCCGACGAACATGCATGGCTGGTGGAAGTGGACAAGAGTGAAGTCACGACTCTCTTGAAGCATCTCAAGAAACACAAGCTCCGCGCGAAACTGAAGCTACGTGCCCTAGATGAGGGAGAACGCACGGTGTGGGCCTCATGGAAAGATCATAGTGAACCCCGGTGGGCCGCATATAACCTGGATTCTCAGTCACTTTCGCCCTTTGCCTCGTCCTCCGCAACGGTTACTGGGTGTGTAGATACCCGCGCACCAGGGTTCGGCTCTAGGCTCGTTACACCCGGGGAGGGAGACTTGACGACGCATCTGACGGAGGGAGAAGGCGAGGGTTATGGATCGGAGGTGGATCTGGGCTCGTATACGGTGCGACGGATGTTGCATGGCATTGCGGAAGGGCAGTCGGAGATAATCCGCGAGTCCGCGCTTCCGTTGGAGTCCAACATGGATATGGCGCGGGGTATTGATTTCCGCAAGGGATGCTATGTCGGTCAGGAACTTACAATCCGGACACATCATACGGGCGTTGTGAGGAAGCGTATACTGCCGGTTCAGTTGTATAATGGGGATCTAGGCGACTTGGCGTCGGCCGATATGCCGGTGTATGACCCCTCTGTGGAGTTGGAATTGCCGCCATCCGGGTCGAGTATTTCCAAGGTCAGCGCGCGCAAGGGCCGTAGTGCGGGCAAATTCTTGGGCGGTGTTGGAAATATCGGACTTGCTTTGTGTCGATTGGAGATGATGACGGACGTTGCTTTGACTGGGGAGGGGACCCAATATAGTCCTGATCAGGAGTTCAAGGTCTCATGGACTGGGGCTGAAGATGGATCGTCCGAGTCTGGCGAGGTGAAGTTGAAG